CACAAACCCACATTGAACAATGGTGAGATCAGCATTTCTTAAACAGGGAACTTTGCGTTCTGTATAATTTAAAACCTTTAAAATGCGATTACAAGATTTTCTCATTAGGGAAAACCAGGATTCCCCCAGCAGTCGCTGAGTTGTGAGTAGGTTTAGGGTTGCTCTAGGCTATAAACTCAGGAGCATGGTAACCACAGCACCCAGCACAGTGCCTGGCACACAGTCGGTACTCAAGAAATATTACTTGAGTGAGTGAGTGATGGGGCTAGGGCAGGGGGCCCTGAGGCTGGAGAGGGCTGTGAGTGTGGCTGCTGAGTAATGCTTCCTGACACCGTAAATGTGCAGTGTGACATGCTGAGACAGACCTTGCAGATGTGATTAACATAAGGACCTGGCAATGGGAAGACTATCCGGGGTTTCCTGGCTTGGTCCTCATGAGGGAGGGGCAGCAGGAGGGTCGGGGTGTGGCTGAGGGTCAGGAGACCTGGTCTTAGGTTCGTTCAGAGGTTGGAGTGTTGCACAGCCAAGGGCTGTGGGCCTCTAGGAGGTGGGGAAGGTTAGGAGACAGCCTCTCCCAGAGCCTCTGGGGGGAGTGTGGTCCCAATGGTACCCCGGATTGCCACCTGGTGAAATCGGTTTTGATTTTGACCTCTAGAACTGTGCAATCTCATATTTGTGCCAATTTGTTACAGCAGCCACAGGGAACCAATGCGTGGAAGAAACCCAGAGGGACAGACAGCTAGGAAGAGTCGGCACTGCTGGTCACAGTGAAAGAGAGGGAGTCCTGTGGCTAAGGACTTGGGCCCTGGAGCCATGGTGTCCAATCCCCTCTACCACATACCACAGTGTAAAGCATCACTTGGAGTCTTGTCAATGCCAATCTGATTCCCTTTTCATTTTAGAAATGGTAGGGGGGAAAAAGGAAGGCCCGTGACCCTGCCTTCCTGCCTCTACCGGGTAAGCCTCTGCCTGGGTCCTTGTGCCTTTGTCTTAATTCTGGGAAAGAGAAAATAATGTCTCATGACCGGCACACACTGTGCAGGAAGGGCTGTTACTGGGTTACTTATTTTGTGAGCTTTCTGGAACCTACTGCTTTCTGGACCTAAGAGATTTTAAAACACAGGTAAAGTGCTCTTAGATCTCAGATTTCCACTGTGAATAAACAAAGCCATTGACTGTTCATTAGAGCAGCGGAGAGAGCCAGCTGAAGTGTCAGGGAGTCATTCTGGGTTGGAAAGTTGTTCCAGAGACCTGCCACGTAGACCCGTAATGACAAATAAAGTCACTTGCTAATATCTGGGGACTATTTACTCCATGGCAGGTGCCTGCTAAGCAGATCACAGGTCATAACTCAGTTCTTCTTCACCTCATCCCTGTGAAAGGGAAGCCCATGTTACCCCTTTTAGAGATGAGGAAACTGAGACTCAGAGTGGCAACTCCCTTCCCCAAGTCACACGTGAGCTGTAGGACCCACACTGTGACCCTGGGAGCTCTGACTCTCAAGACACACTGTGGTAATGGCTGCCAGATCCTGTCCCGTCACCCATCCGCACTGGGCACTGTTCTGAGCACTTTGCATCTGTGCAGTCCCTTAATCCTTACAGTTACCCTGTGGGCATCATCTTCCCTATTTTACAGATGATAAGGCTGAGGCACAGAGAGGTTAAGTAATTGGCCCAAGGCCACACAGCTGTGAATTGCTAAACCAGGGCTCCAACCTAGGCATTATTCACCTTTATGCCCAGCCTCTGTTGGCCTCCACGGCAGCACTGGGAGTGGACACGTGTCCTTCTTAGTGGCTGCCTGGCATCTGGACCCCATCCTGTGTCTGAAGAATTCTCCACTCTGTTGGGCAGAGCCTACCTCCCAAGTGAGATGTGGGCAACCTCAGATGGGCTTCCCGGCCCTCGTTGCGGGGGTAGGGGGTGGCTTGGCCACTTGACAAATGGTTTCTCTGACAAACCCACGAGCCCATGACTGGGAGTCAGGTGTGGGGGGCTTGGTGCTGACCCCAGGAGAAGCTGCACAGGGCATGGGCCTGAGAATGAGCCCTCCTTAGATTTGGCGTCCTGAGAGCCTCCCTGCCTAACCCTTTCCCTGTCTGGAGGTTTGAGAGTTAGGGGCAGAGAAGTTTGAGTGCTTGAGTGCCTGCATGTCAGATTGCCCTGAGGCCCCTCCGCTGCTGCACAAACTGGCTGGGAATGTTGCCAGTGTGGGTCTCAGGGCTGGCTGCCCTCTCGGCACCTCCCCTCTTGCCCCCTCAACACCACCCTTCTACCAGCACATCCTTGACGGTCCCTAAGATGGCATCAGCAAGTATGCTAGAACCTCCGTAGTTGACCACCTCCCTACGCTGACCATATCTTTAACTTGACCTTTCACAGCCCAGATGTGCCCTACATGTACATATCAGTGCAGTGGGCCCATTTCCTTATGGTGACCACCTCTGTGTGTTGACTAGTTTGTTACAGTCCCTTGGGTGGTCACCTTACAGAGGTTCTAATGTAATTCCACACACAACCTGTGCTGCAAAATCACACAACCAAATTTTGTTAGGCTTGTACTTAAAGTGAGAACAGATAACGTATGAAGTGGGTAGGAGGGGCCTGTTTGCTAACATCCTGGCTGGTTTGTGCACATGCATGCACGTGTGTGTGTGTGTGTGTGTGTGTGTGTGTTTGTGCACTTGCATGAGAGAGAGGGACAGAGAGAATGAGAGGATACTCACACTACATCAAGCTAAGTGTCCTCACATCCCACCAACAAGGCCTTGGGGCCACTCACCTCTGTGAGCCGGATGTCCGCGGGGATCCGGTCTCCGATGGAGAGAGACACAACGTCTCCGGGAACCAGCTCTCGCGCGAGCAGGTGCTGGAGTTTTCCTTCTCGGAGGCTGAATTTGATGAGGTGAAAAGCAAAAGCACCACCTTGACTTTCCATTTTTATGCATTTTGATGAATTTGAGCAAAGGGAATAGAAACGTACTTTCTCTTTCAATTATAAACAAACCCTGTGCCTTTCTAGTTTCATTAGTTTTTAAAATTCATGTGGCTCAAAGGAGTAGGGCGCCAGCCCCATATGCCGGAGGTGGTGGGTTCAAATCCAGCCCCGGCCAAAAAAAAAAAAAAAAAACTGCAAAAAAAAAAAATTCACGTATCCTAAAAGAGATTTAGGGAAAGTGTGTGTCTTCTGGGCACCCCTGGGCCTCATCTGAAAAATGGGACTA